TTCTGTGATTCTTTGATTCTGTGATTCTGTAATTGGTCCAAAGAGTTTCTGCATAGGTCTACCACATTCTAGCTAATCTTGGCAGGGGACCACCTCCTATTATGTGTGTGTGTATATATATATCTCTCCTATTAGACCTATATGGATTGGAAATCCTATGGATTTTTATTCTTTTTCTGTTTGTGAGCCCCTGTTTCCTCCTAATCTGTCTCCATTTGAGGTGCCTTTTGTTTTTTCATAGGGAAGATGAACCGGTTTGTCTGGAAGTAGTTAGCCATCCTATACGCAATAGAAATATTTTCGATATCTGAAACGTAAACAGTAATGTAATATTTTCTAAAATTAAACCACAAGCCATTCATTCTTATCAGCTAACTTTCAAGTAAATAAAGTACAGGAAGTTTTTGGTTGTTTGGGGTTTTTTCTTGGTTTTTTGTGGGTTTTTTTTGTTGTTTTGTTTTTTAATAAAATCTCATGTGAGAGATTGTTTATGCTAGAAAAACTGACAGGTATGTGTAATTCAAAATAGTATTTCTAGCATAAGACAGTAAATTTAGAAGACAACACTGCTACAGGCACATCTTTTTTGAGGATAAAAAGAGCCTTATTCTGGCATACTTATTTTTGCTTCGTGGCTGAAAATCCACATTAGCAGTGTGTTGGAAAACTGTGCACTTGCAGGTACACTACTCAAAATTTTTAGCAAGAGAAAAATGCAGTGGCTGTGAGCATCACCATGACTGCTAAGGAAACAATCACAGCAACTGCTGTGAGAAGCAAAGCTTGAAAAATGAGTCCACTGCCTATCTTTTAAAGATAAACTTATGAAGAGGAAGAGGAGATTTCTTTACTCCACCTGAGAAACCTAATGCTGCTTCCAGGCATTCAGAACTGGAGCTACTGTCTTGATTTACAAACTCCCTCATTTTCTTCCCAGTCACCCCCCAGTCTCCTTTTCTTGGGTGGTTCAGGTATTAATAAAGCTAAAAAAACCCTTTCACTATTGTGACTCAAGTCAAGGATTTAAGTGAGCTGCTTATCAGTGTTCTCTTTGGAACTGATAAGGGCAGTGACACCTTCTATGTCAGACTGTGACAAATAGCAGGCATTGCTTTGTGATGTGTAGCCCAAATAAAGGCTGATTGCAAGACCATTTCTGGTTATCCTTGCTGAAATAAGACATGCACTGAAACACTTGAGCAGGTGGAAATCTGAGGGAATACTCTGCCCCTCCAAAGGAAAGACATAGATACAAATGACGCACTTTCATCTGCTATCTTCCTAAACTTCAGGTGTTGGAAAATAAAGCTGACATTGTGAGAGGCTTTATTTGATACAGGATATAGCGTACACTTTACGAAGAGATGCTGAACTCAATGCTGCTTAGCCACTTAGCTTTTTCAAACTATAGGGAAAAAGTCCCAGAGCTAATTGCTTCATTTTGTAGGAAAGCACTGAATTTAGAGCAGTTGGGGAACAGAAGTTAAATATTTAGTTCTACTCTTGTGTGTGACTCTGTGATTAAAAAGAGTAAGTATGTCATACTTCTGTATGCTTTCTAATCTTTTCAGATGGTACCCAGTTACACTTTGTTAGTTGAAGTGAGAGATATGGCAGGTCAGCCTTTTGGTTTGTGCAGTACAGGAACAGCTGTCATTAAAATCGAAGATACAAATGACAACGCACCATCCTTTAAACAGATACAAGTAAGTCTTCATAAATTAAATGTCTGTAAAAAGGTTAAAAAAAAAGACTATTTTTATCCCCTTTCCAGTTTCCTAACGGGCAGCCCTTCGCATATGAAGCCTAATGCCCTGTGACAGTGAATGCCAATATAGACGTTTGAGAATGCCCTGTTGGTTGTTGTGCTGTTTGGTAATTAAACCCATGGTATATTAGTTGTTTTGAGTCATTTGCTTTGTGTCCATTGGGAGAAAGCCCACGAGTCATTCATTCGCTACTACAATGCGTAGTCTTAGAAATCCCATAATTTAACCATTTTCAAGGAGGGGACAGATTCACTCCTAAGCATTGCCATCACTTTGTTACCATTTGCCCAGCTTTTGGCTCCTTCTGTGTGGCACATGAAAATGTTACTGTCGGTGAAGCGGATGGAAGGATTTTCACTGAGGTTTTCTATGCTTTTCCAACTTTTTTTTTTAATCTTCTACAGAAGTGTTACGTAAACCACTTCTTGTTCACCAATAGCTATAACTCAACCTTAAGTCTTGACTTATTGCAACCACCTGAATTATTCAGGACAAAGGGTGTTTCTCAATAACTATGTATATACAGCTCAAATACCACAAATTTATGAAAAATAATGCATTATCTGTGAGGAATACATGTACCTTATCCTTTCTACTCTCTACTGTAGAATATAATCAGTAGTAATAATTCAGAATTGCTCTTTAGCTGTGCATCTTCGGTTTGTACAGAATAACACATCACTTTAAAAAGATTATTAAAAAAGAAAAGAAAAAGAAAAAAATTTTCATCCTTTGCCATCCAAGTAGAGATGTACTTCACCCTTGGCTTTTCTTCAAGTTCTTGTGGTTTGTTTATATATATATGTTTTAGTTTACTTCAGTGTCTTTTCTAATGTTTAGCTTGATTCTGTCCTAAGCAAATTAGCTGATGTAACTGAGGGGAACTGTGCTAATTTACCTTTCCTGAAAGGAGAGTTCCAGAGTTAATTATGTCAGTGATACTCTGAGTGTATGAAGGAGCTGAGATTTCAACTGTGCTGGCAGGAAAGGTTTACTGTTTCACTTCGGATGTAGGGAGGAGTCAGGGAAATACGCTAATACATGAAAAAAAAAATCATTACAGCAGTAAATTGGCCCCTTGAGTTTAAGTAGTCTTACTTAAATACAGTGTTCTTTAGTCCTGCATCATGTTACAGTATTCTTTTATTTAAATTGATTTATTTTTTTTTGGCTACTCTAAGTATGAAACACGAGTGGAGGAAAACAGAGTGAATGTAGAAATACTGAGAATCTCTGTTACTGATGCTGATGAACCTCGTTCGCCTAGCTCAGGAGCAGTGTTTGAAATTATAAGAGGAAATGATGATCGGTCCTTTGAAATTACAACAGACAGAAACACAAATGAAGGAATACTGTGTGTTGTTAAGGTAAGTAAAAACGGAACTGCTAGAGGAAAATCTGTGAGCCTTGAGATGTTGCTTTTAAAATCAATAATCTGGAACTCATTTTTATTCAAAGACTATCTGCAACTATCAGGCAAATCATTCTTTCTTCCTGATCTGAACTCTCTTCTAGAGCAGCTTGCATAATGCACTGCAGATGAGGCTCATGTGTGGTATGTAACTTACAAAACTTACAGGAATTTCTTCCTAATGTCTAGTCTAAATCTATCCTCTTCCAGTTTAAAACCATTACCCCTTGTCTTATTGCTACCTGTCCCTGTAAAAAGTCCCTTACAGCTTTTCTGTAGGACCCCTTCAGGAACTGGAAATAAGGTCTCTCCGGAGCCTTCTCTTCTCCAGGCTGAAGAGAGCCTGGTGCTTTTGCCTGGTTCCACAGTTAGAGTTGTTTAGACTTAGTGATGTAACTGAGGAATGCTTCATGGCTGGGTTTTTAGCAGAAATGAGAGTGTGGCAGAGGAGAGGAGGGATGAACACCTCCTCCAGTCTTGTTCTCTCTGGGAGTTGATTAAACATACTAACTCAGCATAAAACCCTCCAGCTTTTACTTTGCAGGGTAGTGACTTCAGGTTTGCTTTTCTGGGGTCTGAGGGATTCTATGTACACAAAAGACTTTGTGTTGGTGTAGTTACTTCTTGTACCCAGTACTTTACAGATATGAGGTGAAAGGACCACTGTGCCTGTACTTCAGCCTGTCCCTTTGCCTCTTCATGCCTCTATTTCCTCATCTGTTAAAACTGCAATAACAGGTAACTTCTCTAAGGAGCAGAGAAGATTAATATTAAAATTCAAAGATGTAAACCATAAGGGTGGAGATTCCAGTTAATTATTTTATTTTAAAAAATTATTATCTTTTTCTGTACTGGTAAGCATTAGAGCTTTTTCTAAAGCTATATCCCTGGTATACAAACCCAGTTGAAATTTCTTGCACTTAGTGTAATGCTTTAGGAGATGAGAGAGTACTATGACTTTAGGATGTAAATAGCTCTATTAAAGGCCTATGATGACCTTGCAATGGGTGAAGTCTTACTAGGAAATAAATGTAGGCGCTAGCAAGAAGTGTGATTGGCTTGTGCTAGAAAGGAAATATACGTAACCTAAAATAATGACCGAGTAGGTATGAGAGGAGAAAATCCCCCACCACATTTAATTCTTACCTTAGTTTTAGTCGTAACCGACTATCACAGTATTCATCTGAAAATTTACATTGGTGCTGCTTACCTTATTAGGGGTAGTTCCTCAGGTTCTTTTCTTTGACTAACTTAGAATTTAACATTTTTTTTTAAATCATGTCCCTTTACTGTCTCTCAAGCTGTATGTTCCAGGAGGATAGCTGTCTTCTTTTGTGAACAAATGTAGTACAATTTTATCTACTTAATAACTGAGCAGTGAAAACAATACAAAGTTTTGTATTGGTTTGAAGGAAAAATCCCAACACCCCATTTTTGTTACAGGGACTGGACTATGAAAGCGCCAAGCAAAGGATCCTCGTGATTGCAGTCAACAACGAGGCACCCTACATGCTGGCACCCCATTCACAACAACTTTCCCAGAGCACCTGCTCTGTTACAGTGAATGTCCTGGATATGGATGAGGGGCCAGTGTTTAAGCCCTGTGTTTTACGCCTTGATGTTAAAGAATGTGAGGATATTGGGACAAGTATTGGGAGATACCTAGCAGAAGATCCAGAAACTGGAAATAGTGAAGGCATATGGTATGGAACAATGTTATCTGCTCATTTATTTGAAGTACAGCATGGGCAGGATATGGGAAGGGGGAAACAGTTGTCAATGCTGTATATATGAGTATATATGAATACATGCATCTATATGTGTATGTATGTTAGAGATCTTAAACTAAACAATTTATTGACAGCTACCGGATACCACCTGGCCAGTGTAATTGGATCAGCATAGATGAAAAATCGGGTGAAGTCAGAACCATTAAAGTCTTGGACCGAGATGTAGGAGAAATGAGACGAGGCGAATGCAATATCACAGTCCTCGCAATAGACAGAAGTGAGTACTAAATGTTGTCAGTATTCTTTGTCGTCTGTAACAGATGTTTATGTACAAATTTAGTGTGGGGACAGCTATACTGGTTCACACCAAAGGCCCAGCTAGTCCATTTTCTAGTCTCTGGGATAGCTCTACTAAATGCTTAGGGAAAGCATTTAAGAAATTTGGGCACATTCTTAGTGTTCTCAAAAGTTATCTGCTCCCATTTAAAATCCTTTAAGTTTAAACTGAGATAATTTCTTGTGGATTTTAGTCCTTTTATTTCCTATTCTTTTTAAAGTGATAGCACCTGGCATCTGTAAAGTTGACAACAAAGGAAGTAGAGAGAGAGAACTTTTTGGAAAAAAAAAGAAAAAAAAAAAAAGAAAAAAGAAAAATATTTTGACCTTACAACTCTTACTGTTTCCTCCTCTGTTTGGCTTCTTAGTGTCTTGCTTTTGGAAACTCTTAATTTAAAAGGACCTCTAAGAATAGCTGTATTCATTGCTGTATCTTATTGCACTCTTACGTGTATTCTAGGTTTTGTAACAGCATTCACACTACATGTTGCCCAGGTGAAGACCCCTTACAAATTACTCTGATTGTAAAGGAAGGGTTATGCACTCAGATTATTATTCTAAAATGGGTTTTGGTTCTGATTTCATGTGAGTGATCATCTATTCTTTCTGAGTAATTTGGGTATATACGTATATTGTAGGAGAAGACATCTCTAGTTAAGAAGATTAATTACACTTTTCACAAGTGCTGAATGCAGCAAATGGATTATGAAAGAAAAATGTTAGGTTTATAGGTCACTGTTTTAATTCTAAAATATGTATCTTACATGAAAAAGAAAAAATTGACTGCCTTTATAAATTCAATAGCAGGATTTAGTTTGAGCCTTTATGTGCTTTAATGTCAGTGGAAGTAAAGAACAGACATTTGGAAGTTGCTTTACAGCTAAAAATTCTAACTGTGTCCAAAGTTTGCGTATTAATATTAATTGTAAATAATGTGAATTTAAATTGTTTAGAGCTTCTGTTGCATATAGAGTAAACATCATATATGCATCTGCGATCAGGTATCTCTAGAGAAAGTTTTAAAACTAAACTTGATGTAATTTAACTGGAGTGCATATACAAGCATTGACCATTCCTGTATTGTAAAAAATGTGATTAGGAGGCAGAGCTCATTCACTTCTTGCATGTGGACTTTGGTGTCATAGTATGTGTCAGCATGGTGACACGAAAAGAAGAGGACAGAAAGAAGCTCTCTGTTTCTGAAAGTGTTTGTGTTCCCAGGGAAAGTGAGGGTAGGATACATGTAACTTGTTTTCCTCTTTCAGAAGTAAAAAGACTGGAGACCTTAAATTTCTGCTTTTGACTCTCTTTTTGGCTTGGTGTCCTTCACCCCTGATCCTCCTGTTTGAACAGTATCTGTCCCCATAGAATACATTGTCTGCACATACAGAATATGGAGCTTCATTCCATTGTTGATCCTACAACCAGCCAAGCAAAGAGAAGCAGCCAAGAGAGGGCTATGAGAAGTCCCTCTCTCCTTTTGGCTAAATTAGCAGCTGCTTTCCACCTTACTTCTAAACATTGATATTGCAGTTGATTATATATCTTTGTGAACATTTAGACTAGAAATAAGTTTGTGAATATTAGAAGTTAAGTGCTAAAAGTAGTTATTTTTATCTCACAGATGGTAAAACAGGCACTGGAACAATTCAGGTTTTCATCCGGCCTGGGAACAAGAATTACCCACGAATCCTTAAAACTGAGTACATAATGTGCAGAGACAGAAAACCGATCTGCCTTACTGCAGAGGACAGTGATGAGTCTCCTTACAGTGCACCCTTCGTGTATCGCATCACTGACCGTAACTTGGCTTCCTCATGGAAGATAAGTCGACACAACGGTATGTTAAGACTTCTTTCTCCTCACTTAGCTGTAGGTTGCCAGAGGAGGCTTTGGTGCCTCTGCCTTAGGTGTATGGTAAGGATAGACTGGATTGAACGTATGTTGGGAATTGGTATAGTTGGTGGGGTTACCAAGGTAGCTTTGATGATCTCTTGTAGTTCCTCAGTTTCATTTGCTGTACAGGAGATCAAGAGTATGCCAGGAATAAAGGGGAACAGCTAAAATATCCTTTCTCTTGACTCTCCTGGGCTTGAAACAGTTTGCAAAAGTTAAGAAGGTGGCATCACAAAGGCAAGGGAAAGTATATTATATTCTGCCTCTTAAAGCATAAGCAAGAATCTGTCCCCAGCATCCTTGGGTCAGCAATCAGCTGCTGCCTGAAATGATGATATAAAAAGATTAGGTGGGAGAACAAAAACTGATTTAATACATTGTATAAACACCTCTGGAAAAGGACTAAGTGGCTAATACTCCAGATAAAAATACAATTTTTCTTAGGCTGCTATTATGGTGGAGGACTGGAAACTGAAACTTTAAAATTGATTAGAGGCTGACTAAAAAAATCTTGGCGGTTTTTTTTCTTAGTACTGCTGTCAGCCAGCACATTTTTGGTACAGCTGAGCTAAGTGGGGGACAATATTGCTATCTCCCTTAATATATTTATGTTAATTTTTATAATTTTGATAGAAGTAGATAAACAGTTTATTACTAAACAGATCACTGTTGCATAAAATTTGATACTATAAAAAGATACAGCCAAAGGTGGTTTCCTGGTGGGTGTGAGATGGTGGCAACAAGAGCAGCACACATATTTGCTACTGTGTTGTCATGAATTAGCCTGAAAGGGGTCTGATTTTGAAGTGTTCAGTCAAACATTCACTAATGAAAGGCAATAGACAGCAAAGTCTGAGAGTGAAGGCATCTCAAATTTTCAAGATTTATATCAGGCAAATTGAAAAGACATCTTAGATGGTACATGTAGTTTCATATACCTCATTATTAAGCAACCATTATGTACATCAGTGTCTATCTTGTACATTATTTTTACAAATTACTTCTTTCACGCTTTAAAACATGTCATTAATCACTGCCACTGAGCAGGGCAGCAGACTAAATGGTTTTTACTTCTCACTGGTTATAGCTGTTCCCACTGAATATAGCAATAATGTTAAAGAGTGAAAGAGGTATAAATTAAGTTTATGATTAATTATTCCAATCATACTACCAGAAGTTCTATTAATAAATGTCAGTTCAGTTGATGGTCTTTACTCATAAGCCCAAATAATGTCATTTGCTATCATGAACTGAATCAACTTCAGAGTTTCAAATCATCTGTTGTCAGAAGTATGTATACGGTTTGCTTTTTCAATTCTAGCAAAGGTGCTGATAGTATAAATCCTTCCAAGATGTAGTTTTTAAGCTAGCTTTAAACTAACTAATGCAGATCTGGTAGCAGTATAGCTGTAACAGAAGGGACGATTGTGATTTTGGTCGCATTTGTGACAACAGAGTTTCAGGTATTGTTAACACTAGATCTGGTTTTGTCTTTTTGTTTTTACAGATAATTCTGTGTATCTTTCACCAAAGGGTGATATTCCATTTGGAACATACAGTATTCCTGTAAGTGTGACTGATAATGGAGGAAAGGTAGGAGAGCACTACATAAAAGTTAACTACTGTGATTGCGTTACTCCAACCGAATGCATTGAGGAGCCCCGTGTCCTTCGTAGCGGAAATGTTACCCTTGGCGTATGGGCCATCCTTGCCATGATCTTAGGATCACTATTATTGCTGCGTAAGTACACTTTTTTTTTTAACACAAAGTGCAAGACGCTTAATTTTAAAATTAGCTGAGAGAACCTGATTCAAACTTGATTCAAACATTTCTTTTTTTATTTAGGTATTTGTATAGCTCTCATTACTGACTTCATGTACCTGCTCTATTTGTATCTGTATCACAGGCTTCTTGCTCTTGTCCTGTAGTTCCTGTGTGTGGATTTTTGTTTATTCTTTTAAGTACATGTTATGTAAGATGTGCTGCATGTTCATGTTAGCAAGGCCAAAAAAACTGCATTCAGCACTTGAACTGAAAGAGGATGGGATTTGTAGTGATTATCAGATCTCATCTTGAGGCGAGTATAGCAAAGTGTGTGTGTGTTGTACTGCTTTTGGGATGCACATTTCTGTTTGTAGGAATGCTGAAACCAATTTCCTAGAGCTTTTTTATGACTTTTCTTGTGTCGTGGACTAAAACATGGTGTATCTGAGACATTTGATCTCACAAGGAATTTTACAAGAGCCAGCGTAATGTTGAAGGACAGGTTGGAGACTTCTGCAACAGACTAAACCCTTGAATATATGTTATATTACTGAAGTTGCCCAAAGACTAATAGATTCTTAGCAGGTTAATATTGCTGTTAACCAGTGAGGTGGTGACAGTGACAGCAAAGTAATAGCAAAGCCAGGTCATTTTTTTACCAGAATCAGATGTAGTCTGACTAATAACATCTTCAAGAATCACCAGGGGACGTGCTACAGGCTGAGAGAGTCGGGGCTATTCAGCCTGGAGAGAGAAGGCTTCTGGGAGACCTTATTGCAGCTTTCCAGTTCCTGAAGGGATCCTACAGGAAAGCTGAGGAAGGACTTTTTATAAGGGGAAGGTAGTGATAGGACAAGGGAGAATGGCTTTAAACTGGACCGGGGTAGATTTAGATTAGATATTAGGAAGAAATTCTTTACAGTGAGGGTGGTGAGACACTGGAACAGGTTGCCCAGAGAAGCTGTGGATGCCCACTCCCTGGAAGTGTTCAAGGCCAGGTTGGATGGGGCTTTGAGCAGCCTGGTCTAGTGGGAGGTGTCCCTGCCCATGGCAGGGGGGTTAAACTGGATGATCTTTAAGGACCCTTCCAAGCCAAACCATTCTATGATTCTATGGAATACTTCAGAGTTTGGTTTTGGTCTTTATGGTTTTCTCTTTTCTTTTTTTCTTTCTTTTTTTTTCTTTTCCATTTTTTCTGGTAATGATCTAATGTTCAAATAATGATCTAATGATAATCTAATGATCAAATGTCTTGCCTTTGTTCAGTCTGAGCTAGCTGTTCTTACTCAGATAGATAGAACATTAGGACCTGCACATGTTTTGAAGGTTAAATAGATCCATGTTTTATCTAAACAGGGCAAGTACCCAAATTAGTGATACACTCTGATGGTAGAACTTTCAGATGTGGGGACACTCAGTAGAGGGACTGTGTGAAATATCAGCTAGCTTTTTGTCACTTCCCCTTGACTGCTTTTCTCACAGATAGATGCATTATTTTATTGTGGCTAGGTTTTACCCTGTGTATCCTCTACTCAGTGCTGTCATGGATGTCTTCTACCCATCTGTCAGCATCAGGAGGCGACCCGCCAGAACCACTGATGCAGATCTCGCTGACAGCTGATAGCCGCAGAAGCTAAATGAGCTTGAAAGTGGCTCTTGACCAATTTCCACAGAAGTTTATATGTTCAGATATAAGATTGCTCAGTGGGCAGTTAGGCAGAACTGCTCTATTTCTCATGGTCTTCTTTATTTTTAAGCTATCCACTTGAAAAGAGAGGATCTGAACGAAATGTTTAGTCTTTTGTCTAGAAGAGGTATTAGTTGATCATGATTCTTTTATGCAAAGTAATTTCTGGCTGAGTCTCCATGAAAACACAATGTTATTATAGGAGGAATAAACTGAATACAAGCCATTAAATAAGATTGTACTGTAACATAATGCTTGAAGTCCTCCAGGGTTTTGATGACCTTTACTGTGAAGCAGAAGTTTCTGGTATTGGAACTTTTAACTTGCATATTAATTCCTTATGGCATAATTTGACATCTCTGTATTCATACATGAAAAATGTCTTATGTACCACCTTGTTGTAGGCATAAGACATAATTTTTCAACTGCATTTGGTCTCAATTTTTTATTACTGTGAAATTTTGCAGTCACAGTGTTTTCATAAGGGACGCTTGCATTTCTTTTGAGGAGACTAAGATGTGTTTTAGAAGAATGAAATAGTTCAACAGTGTAGAGAAAACTCTGTATACTGTTTGTAAAAAATGTGTATTTGTACAGTTTTGAGTATGGGTATTTTTGGAAATAAATATTTTTTTAAAACTATTATTGATCATTAGGTATTTAAAAAGGCTAATACAACAAAATTCGTTCTCAAACATAAGTAGATACCATTATGAGGTCAAGTTCATAGAATCTTTCTCACTTATTTCCTTTCCATAGTAATCCTGATCACGATTTGCGGCTGCTGTGGCTCTGGGGTAATGCACAGGCAGGTGACTGATGATTGTGCCAATCACAACTTAATCATTTCAAATACAGAAGCTCCAGGAGAAGAAGTGATGGTAAGTTGTCTACTTCAGTGTAGAAACATGTAATTAAGGCATCCATAGCATTTCAGTTTAAGAACGGGACCACCTACAAGGAAGTGATTTAACTTTTAACAGACTTTAACTGTTTCGTTGGAACTTTCAGGTGAACATTTTAATCACTTCAGTCATTTCCAACAATGAGATTAGATGGAAATTTACTATTTTGCCTACGTTAAATGTGCGTTTATGGGAAAACATTCTTGCTTTTCCTTGGAGAAGGATTTTTAAATGTAGGAGATAGTCATTGTAGATCACAGGTGCAATTTCAGCCTTTCCCCTGAAAAATGATCCCAAATATAGTTGATTTTTGAGCCAGTGGAAAAAATGTAATTGAACAGTCCATGTTGATTAAATATGTTCTTGCTTTTGGCATCTAAACTTTTTAAAGATTCAGTATACCACATGCAGAGTCCATAGTCCAGCCCAGGACTGTGTTCATGCAACAAGGACTTAGCACTTCAGTTGCCCTTCTCCTCTGTCCCTCACCCCTGACTTTGTCCTGCTCAAGAAACAGATTACTTTAAATACAATTGAGTTTACTTCACCTTGAAAACCAATAAATTCTAATGGTGACAATTGTCAAATTTCTTGTTGCCTATGAAGCATAACGTAGTGCCATTACAAACTAATAATGTAGTTTTTAAATTGTGATCCCATACTAGTTATTCTATACTTAACTCAGTACACAGACTTAATGTGTGAAGATACAGATTGAAACGTATGCTTATGACTGTATGTATGGCTTAATGGATTACACGTTGTTGACTTTGAAAACAAAACATTATTTTTATGTGATAATTTCATAAACTAGCATATGGATTATTGTACAACTCTCACTGGGATAAAGATTTTGGATCTCACACCATATTTAAATGCAGATTTCCCCCCCACCCCTGCCCCTTGTCATAGTATCCTTTCCAAAGACCACTTACTGATCTTTATATGCTAAGTTCTAAGGGTAGGGGTTTTTTTGTTCAAAATACCACAGTGCAAAGCTAGAGACTTTTCCATTTTCAGTATTGACATTTTCTGATTGCTTTTTCATCTTTTGAATTTGAAAAAAAAAAAGTAAAGGCATTCCCACTGCTGCATATTTTTTTAGGATCACAATATAATTCCTCTACAAACTGCAAATGATCATGGAGGATATGGAATAAAAACTGGGGAACAGCAAACATTCGAAATGGCAAAAGGAAGAGGGCATACCCTGGAATCAGTCAAGGGATGTGGACATCAGACTCTGGGATCAGTCAGAGAAGGAGGAGGACAGAATATGATGGATACGTGTAGATACTCCTACTCAGAATGGCATAATTTCACACATCCTCGTTTAGGTGAAGTAAGTATTCTGAAACGGTGGTTTTTTTTTTGTTTTGGAGTGTAGGTTATGATCAATATATACAGACTTTTAATGGAAGAGATGTGTTTGTGCTAGAAAGGTGGCTTTCTGCTTTTGGTTTTGTTTCTTTTTCCCTCTCATTTGCTTCCATGCCACTCCTTTGGAACACTGCACTTTCAAAAAGTAATTCTTTATGTATTTTAGACAAGTGTAAATGACTTTCTTTTCTTGACATAAACTACAGACAGTATGCTACTTTTCATTTAGAATATTTACTTATTTAGAATAATTACTCAAGCTTTTGTGAATTTTTCTGACAATGTCTGTTTGCTTTTATTCTAACTCCTTGCTTTGTACCTTATCTTAGCAATGGTGCAGGAATGAATGTACAGCATTAGAAATGTAGTTACTCCATGCTTTGGAGATCAAAAACTCTCACTACTTGCCTAACTAGTTATGTGTAAATCAGTCTTTTAATTTCAAGTGGATTTTAGTTGTTTGACAGGTTATTTAAACAGGTTCTTCCTCTTTTATTGTTACATACATGATTAGTAGAAATGATTTCTTTATTAAGTACTTATTTTTTGTAGTCTTACTGATATAGACCAATCATGTGCATTTTTTGTATGTAGGAATCCATTAGAGGACACACTCTGATTAAAAATTAATCAATGAAAGGTAAATCCAAAAGAAATTATTTTTATGCAATACATTTAGGATAACAATTTAAGAAAATAATAAGATATGTTCTCTTCCTATGCAGAAGGTGCACCTATGCAGACAGGATGAAGAACAGAAGCATTCTGAAGATTATCTCCTTTCATATAACTATGAAGGAAAAGGATCCTTGGCTGGCTCTGTAGGCTGCTGCAGTGATCAGCAGGAGGAAGAGGCACTTGACTTCTTAGATCAGCTGGAACCCAAGTTTAGGACATTAGCAGAAACATGCGTAAAAAGATAAATGTGCCTTCCACAATGCTGAAAAACCCTGTAAATATGTGGCTGTCATACTTTTGTGATATTAGGTATTTTGGAATTGAAGGGGGGGAGAGGTTTATCAAAATTAATATAGAATGGTGAGAGTGTAAGAAACTCTTACTTTAAATTTACATCATTTTTTTAATCTCTGCTGGGCACATTCCATCAAAAATAAGGGGTGAAAAATATTTTTTCTTTAGACTATGTTAATATAGTAGTGCTAGTTTCTACTTAGATTACATTTCCTTTTCTTTGTGATTACTTAAAATGCAAAACTTGGTGTCTTTTCACTTAATTATTCAGCTTAAAAATTTTATTTTATTTGGCTTTGGAGAAGGAAAGCTTTTTAACTCACTGTTTCTTTGTTTTCTTTTAATTCTGTAGAAATAAACCCAAAAACATTACTGGTGGATATCAAATACATTGTTAATTTTTAACTTATACAAACTGAGATACAAAACACTTTTTCATTTTAGACGTAAAAAATTACTGATGATTATGTTAGAAAAGTTTATATTTTGATTGAAAATTAAATATATATATATGTTGTATATATGTAAAATAATATTCAAAAATATATTTTTCTCCTAATGGGTTACCACCCATCAAACTTGCTATCCTAAGGGATTTATGGCATCACTACATAGGGTATCAGCATTGTATGCGAGTATATATTTTTCTTTTAAGGAAATAAAAGATTAAAAAAAAATCAGGAAATAAGGGTAATGATCATACTTCAAATGAACACAAGACAAATCTCATGTTTACTTGACATAAGTTTGTACCTCGGTTTCTTGTGAGTTTTAATATTGCAGAAATAATGAACATTGCCAAGAGTTTTGTCCAGTGCAGCCTTTTACTTGCTTTGTTACAGACTGCATTAAACTGTTTCTTTCTTTAAGTAGAACTTGACAGAAGATGCAGCTCAAATGCATTTGAGCATGCACTGCATTAATAATGTGTTTTAAAGACAGCTTTATTTGAGATGCAAAATTACACTGGGATAAACTGTCTGTTTTGAGTGTTTTATGTGGTGGTTGTAGAGGTAAACATTTACACAGATCTCTGGCAGAAATCATCAGAATCCCATTTGTTATTTTACTGGATTAAGCATACATATATGCTATATATATCTCTATACAAAAGTTTGAAAAACCTTTGGCAGATGGCAGTAGTGAGTCCTGAATGCTGCCATACACTTTCTGGAATTCAGTCTCTGCTTCCCAGATTTTGTATGTTTTTAATATTTGCACTCCTGGTTAAGTATCCTGTCCTGTGCACTCCGGGAATTCTCTTGTGCCTTAAAAGGATATCTTCCTGCCTATGAGAAAGAGAAACTTGTGCAATTCCTTTTTTCTGTTGCTATAGTCTGCTTTTAGGTTTTGCTCTGTAAACATGTATTTTTAAGATTTACTGTAGCTAATGATCTGTAAAAGGAATTATTAGTAACAACAGAGTCACACTGCTCTAAATTTCAGTGCACAGCTGCTGCTGACTTCCAGTGGTTGCAGTTCATTCCTCACAGATGATGGTAAGTGAAAATCTGTAACAGTATGAAAACTTACCAAAGTTATAAAATAGTACTCTTGAAACCTTAAGTTTCACACTGTAAGTGGGCTTCAGAAAATTTCTGATAATAACTAGCTGTGGTTAATAACTTCATAGACCAATGTTAAATGTATTTTAATCTATCATTTGAAAGTGGTGATGAGTTCATCCTGAATTAGGTACACTGCCACTGGTAAGAGCGACAATTACCAGCAGCAAAATACTAGGTGAGAACTAAGGTGTTATGATCTGACTTTATTTAAAAAAATGCATGCTAACACTGCTCTTCTGTACACTACTTTATCACTGACGTAAATGAGTTTTGCTGTACACGGATAGACAGATCTGTGGCTGGTGCAAGTTAGTATAGCTCTGCTGATGCCAGTGGAGCTACGCTGACTTTGCCAGGTGAAGATCTGTCCCTTAGGGATTTCCTTGCTTCTTTGTGCCTTGCATCTGTATCTTTAGTTATTTGCTACACACTTTTTAAGGTGGTAATAATGTTTTCGCCTCCTCGCTTTTAATGTTTGTTGTTTTTGGGTTTTTTTGTGTTTGGTTGTTTTTTTTTAAATTATATAAAAAGCCTATAGTTCAGAAGGACCTAGGATAAATAACAGAATGGACTCTTTTGAAAATTACTTGGGGGATGGTGTAAAGAAACCACTGGAAATACGGTTTCTTTCTTCATGAAATATAATAGTAGTGTTCTAAAAGAATAGACCAAATTTGGATGAACTTAAATGGATTGGCATTGGCTATTTTAATTAGATGGTTGCCAACTTTCCAGTTTGGAGTTAAAATAGTAACTTATTAAAATCAAAATAATGTTTTTCTAGTCTAATTAACCTTAAAAATGTTTTATTTTTTTCTTTTACATTTCAACAAACATAGATAATTAGTTACTTGCATTTTTTGTCTGCTTTTAAACAAATTCGGAATCTCTTCTTGTTTGTCTCTTAAAAAAAATAAGTTCTGAGCTGAACCAGCTATTTCTGTAAAACCAAGAGTAGAAAGTTAATTGGAGATGCTTTAAAAAATGAACTGTAAAACATTATTTTCATTGTATCTTCTAAACATGCGAATGAAAACTTTGTATAAAGCATTAAAGTTTACAGATGCTAAGTACCAAATAACATTTGTGTAAAGCTTACAAATGAAATATTTCAACATGTATAATTCACTCATTGTTACTGTCTTGAATCACCTTAAAAATTGTGAAAATTTGTTATCTTAAACTAGGTAATTTGCAAGCTATCTAGTTGTGTCAACATTATCTAAACATCATGTTTTAGGTATATTTTGTACAACAGTGAGTAGTAATTTTTTTGCAAATAAAGGGAACTTCTACAAAAACTGTTCATTTCTTGTACATGAACTAGTTTATGAAGAGGCAATACTACGGGCTTGGGGAAAAGTTGCTGGAAAGCTGCCGGGCAGAAAAGGACCTGGGGGTGTTGGTTGACAGCTGACTGAACATGAGCAAGCAGTGTGCCCAGGTGGCCAAGATGGCCAATGGCATCCTTGGCTTGTCAGAAGTAGCATGGCCAGCAGGAGAAGGGAAATGGTTCTTCTCCTGTACTCAGCACTGGTAAGGCTGGACCTCAAATACTGTGTTCGGTTTTGGGCTCCTCACTACAAGAAAGACATTTTGTTGCTGTAGCATGTCCAGAGAAGGGCAACAAAGCTGGTGGAAGGTTTAGAGCACAAGTCTTATGAGGAGTAGCTGAGGGAGCTGGGGTTATTTAGTTTGGAGAAAAGGAGGCTGAAGGGAGACCTCATCGCTCTCTACAACTACCTGAAAGGAGATTGTAGTGGAGTAGGTGTTGGTTTCTTCTCCCAAGTAACACATGACAGGACAAGAGGAAACACCCTCCAGTTGCATCAGGGAAGGTTTAGATTGGACATTAAGAAAAATTATTTTATTGAAAGAGTGGTCAAACATTGGAATGACTGCCCAGGGAAGTGGTTGATTCACCATCCCTGGAGGTGTTTAAAAAATGTATAGCTGTGACACTTCAGGACATGTTGGGTTGACAGTTGGACTTGATGATCTTAGAAGTCCTTTCCAACCTTAATATTCTATAATTTTAAGATAAGCATGCCTATTTCTGAAGGGGACTGGATTTTAAAGTGTGTTTGCGATGTTATACTGCCATAAGACTAGTAGTACTTGTCTTTGCAGCATGAGCAGTGGTGAGTTCTAGCTGAAGTTTTATAGCACAGGTTGGCCAGTTGTCAGTAGGACTTCCTTGTTTCTTCTAAAATGATCATAGAACACTTGATGAGTTCAAGACCTTAAGAGTACAAAACATTACTCTGTCATTGCATTGATAAATTGCAAAAAATAGACAGTGCCTAGTTTCAAAACCTCTTAAGGAAAACCAATGGCAGCAGATAACCCAAACTTCCACATGTTTGGCAGTCATAAAGCTGCAGGATATTATTATTGTAGGGATGGTATGACCCCTGCGTTAGTATGATTGAGGGACCAGTGGAATATATCAGTTTTGGTTATCTACAACAAAGAGGTAAATTCACAGAATGGCTGAAGTTGAATGGGTCTCTGGAGGTTGTCTGGTCCAACCTCCTTGCTCAGGCAGGACCACCTACAGCTGGTTGTCCAGGACCAAGGATGGAGACTCTACAAATCTCTCTGGGAAACCTGTTCCAGTACTCAGTCACCTTCACAGTAAAAATGTGTTTCCTGATCTTCAGATAGTGTCTCCTGTGTTTCGGTTTGCAGCCATTGCCTTTTGTTCTGCCACTGGGCACTACTGAAAAAAGCCTGTCTCTGTCCTCTAAGCACCCTTTCTTCAGCTATTCATATACATTAATAAGATCATCTCTGAATGACTAAACAGTCCCTGTTTAGTGCTGTTGATCACCACCCTCGGGGAGTGAACGGGCCTTTCAGCCAGTTTTCAATCCACCTCACTGTTTGCTCATGTCAACAGCTTATCTATGAGGATCTTACAGGAGACAGTGTGAAAGACCTTACTGGCATCCTGGTAGACAATGTCAACTGCTGCTGCCTCACATACCAAGCCAGTAATTTCATTGTAGAAGTTTATCAAGATAGTCAAGCATGACTTCTCCTTGGTGAAGTCAAGTCTTGTTAATGTACCTGAAGAATGGTTTCCAGGATTAGCTGATCAACCATCTTCTCAGAGATTGAGGTGAGGCTGACTGGTCTGTAGTTCCCCAAGTCCTCCTTCTTGCCTTTCTTGAAGTGATGCTTGCTTTCTTCCAGTCCTCTGGCACTTCTCCCAGTCACCATGATCGATCAAAAATTGCTGAGAGTGGCCTTGCAATGACATCTGCCAGGTCCCTCAGCACTTGTGGTGCAACTCATCAGGGCTCCTGGACTTCTGTATGCTCAGTTTGCTTAAGTATTCTCTGATCTGATCCTTTTCCACCAAGGGTACCTCTTCCTTG